CTCTTTTATCTTCCCCCCTCACCCTTGCTGGTATTTTGGGTCCTGATTCTACAAATTCCACTACACATTACTGACAATGATCCTAAGTCAACAGCGTTCACCCCACATGCAGCGTGTTTGGTATCGCTGCATGTGCCCAAGAGGGACAGGAACATAACACATGCTATATTTCCATCATAATGATAAGTCCTAGTCTTCCTCTATCACATATGAAAGATGGATGTGACTGAAGGGAAAACGGCATTTACCAACCATACTGATTTGCAAGCCCCAGCATGTCTTTGGTTTAATGAAACACCAGATGCATTCATTTACAACTTCATTAGAATGGAAAAGAAACAACAAAAAGTGAAAAGAGAGATGAGTGAATACAGACGTAGGTACCTCAGCTTGATGGAAAAGATCCAGTGTTGTTTTCAGCAGTCCCTCCCCTCTAGAGAAGCAATATGGGAAACATGGTGAGAAAGATGGATGAGCACATAATACATCCACAGCAATCAACAAAAAGTTCATCTTAGGTTAATAGCAACAATTTTATGTTCAGAATGAGTCACAGTCATGTCAACTTCATCAGTGCCTCAAACCATGCCTGGTAAATATCGATAGCTGAGGGCTCGAGATTCTCATTGACACTAAGTTTCTTAAGAGACTCGTGGATGTATAAGGCTTTACAATGTTGAGGTTTGAAATGAACGTAACAGTTCAGCAAACTGCAGATATAAAATCTGAGCACGTGTGTGTCTGTTGGTGTGCGGTACCAGTAAGCTACCTAGTGAACAGGTACATGCTGTAGGCCATACTGGCCAGGCTTTGGCTCTGTCGCACAATGTCATGTTCTTGCTCCTCCCACTTTTCCACCTCTGTGTCCACATCTGATGAGAGCAGACGAAGCTCCAGGCCCAGCTTGGCTACGCTGGTCTGTTCCTGAACACACACACAGAGAAAAAGAACAGCTATCAGTGGCCATAGCAGTAGTCAAAACATGAAGCAAATCAATGTGTGAATGTGTATGTCTGTTGATTAAGTGGTGTGTAGCTAAAAACATTCTCACAGACTTCTAGTAACATGTTGTGACATTAAACATAAGAACATATTATGGCTAAGGCTACAGTTATACACGTCGTAATAATAATATTAAACACCCTGTCTGCTGACAGTCATCAACTCTTCTCTCTAGTTATCCTTGACCAGATGTACCCTGTAGAAACTCATAAGCATGACTAAGCATTTAACAGTCTAACTAGACATCCTATCTCCACTAAACATTTCTAATACATAAAGTATCTATCCAATATCTATCTGACTAAAAATACCTAACACCTGCAAACTGTAGCCTATTACCATACAAACACCATTAATTCTTCAAGTGAATGACACAAAGTTTCCTGGAGATTAATATTCTGATGTCAAAGCAGCGTACAAAATTGAATATGATGTGTTGTGCTGAGTTTACAGTGTATACTACCTCTGCATCCAACTTGACAGCCTTGACAGCCTTCAAGTTAGTTGAGTGTTTCTGTGGAAAAAGAGAACTGCATTTATCACAGGATTACAAGCCACTGTATCAGTGGAATATTCATGGGGATGGAGGGTGTGATACTCACCCCAGGTCTGGGAAGTGACAAATAAGGCCGTTTGTCTCCTAGGAACAGAGTTATTGTGATTATCTGAGGTAAACATGAGTTGTGGAAGTGTGATGTGTTTTTTTTCTAGGCATTTATTGCCTTCATTATTAAGTGGGTCACAGAGAGGCAGACAGGAAATGGGAAAAGCAAAATCAGAGAGGGAGGAGGGACATGCAACAAATGTCAGTGGTCAGACTCAAACCACCAATACTGGATGCACAATAGCCCCTTTTCCATCACTAGTACTGGCTCAACTTGACTCAACTCTACTCGCTTTTACTACCAGCTGCTTCATTTTCCACTGCAGATAGTCGAGTTGAGTTGAGCCAATACAAGGTGGCGGAAAAGGGGCTTAATGTGCACACATACATGTTGGATCGCTGAAGCCACTCAGCTATCAGGGGCTCCCAAAACAATATGTTTTAATGGTAACCCAATCATTTAGATGAAAAACATACACCCTGCCGTTACAGTGTTTCTCTTTGAATAATGTGTGTAGATATTCAGACTTTTTCAAACAATTAGAGCGGGCAATTATGACTAGTCAGAAATTATGGTGATAAAACTTTGCTTTCATTGCTGTCCACCCGTGACACATTTTTAACTGTCATCATAAATGCAAACAGCGCAGCTCATTTCAATCAATGTCAGACATGGCATGTTTATGGGAGAAGATTAAAATAATACAGCAGATTTCTCCTCTGTGTCCCTGTAAAATTTTAACACAGAATTGTGACTTCATGGCAATATAATATAGTGATGGATGTGATCCTTTCACCCACTGAGCTACGCTTCAAAATATTTACTACAATTGATGTGAAAGTCACATTCATAAGGGCAACCGTGTCTTGACAATATGCCAAAACATCTGTCCCTAGTCTCTGAGATTTCTCAGACTTACAGGATGTTAAAGTACAGGGTTTATAGGATTAAAAGCTCATTTAACTAAGATTTGTCTGATAAATCAAGTGAAAGTTGCACAGGATGTGGTGTCTCAGCTATACTACCCTTCTCCATGACACTCTGCTGCCTACAGCCCTTCTGTTGTCATTCCAGTTTCTCTGCCCTGTGTTTTCAAAATATGGTCTGTAAATGAGCTCTGTATGCCACCTAGTGAAGGTTATAAAAGTGTTTTTCGAACGAGAAGTCAGTTTAAAACGGACATCTCAGCAGCTAAAAGTCTGTCCGACTGAAGAGGTGGTGTTCTTTTGCACAGAGCGAGTGGGACAAAAAAAGAGCAAAAACCAGAGTGAAAAAGACAGGTTGACTTTTTGAGATTGAGAGTGCTACAAGCAGCCAAAGGGCTTCAAATTGATTCAGATGTGATATTCTTCCTTCTTGGATGTGTTAGCGTCTAAAACTAATGCATTTATTTTGGTAAAATTATTGACCTAGTGTGATCATTATTTTACCTTTGAATTTAATTAATGATTTGAATTTTGGAGTAATTCAAGCTTCATTTAACAGTAGTGCTTTGTGTCACACTAGCAGCAATCAGAGTGTTCTACTGGATTGCCAAATTTAGTCCTTAGTCAGCTAACACTAGCTTTTGACCGGAAGCTATATTTTGTACAGTTTGTCGTAACCAGGCATCTGTAGTTTACGTTGTTGCTAGGTAATGACGTGGTGAGAGGAGCATCTTATGGTGTTTGTTTTGAGGCTCACTAGACCCTCTAGAGGCCGATAAGGAATGAGCTAGATTAGATCTAAATCAGACACTCCCTGAAACAAACATATATCTGTGTATACATGAACAAATGTACAGTAGATGCAAATATACAGTACACGCAGTCACGCAGGCCTCAGTACCCACGTGTGTCTGAGTGAGTCTCTGTCAGTGATGATATAAACAGCTGAGCTTTTAAGTGTCTGTGTCATGGACACTTCAGGTAAGTGGAGCAATAATGAAAAGAGAGGTAGTACAGAGGAGGAATAAATGCATGGGTGTTTAATGGCACTGACGTTGTTCCTTTTACAAAATGCTTCCCACAGTTTTGATGATGTGATGATGAATTTTGAAAGGCATGTTCATGCTGCTTGCTTTGCTTCATCTTTAACTCTGATTAAAACTGTCGACGTGCTCAAGGACATAATGATTCAGCAAGGTTTTTATAAAAGAATGTGTTTCTTTCAGGCTAAAATTTGACAGACAGCAGTTTACCTGTTTTTGCTTCTGCTCCTCACTGTTTCCAAAATGCTGTTTTCATGTGTGTGCTGTCTGCCCTGCCACCCCAACCCAGCCAAATGCAAACAAGTATCATTAACTGAACAAAAACACACCTCGCCTGCCTTCAAAGACATCATTGATTTCTCTTAACAGCAGGGCCATGTCACAGAGCTGGGATTCCCAGGTCTCACAGAACACTTCCAAGTTCTCCTTAGCAATCTTACTGGATGGGTGGAGGGCCAGCGTCTGGGCTGCTGAGATGATCTGAGAAAGAGTG